TCGTGTTTCTTGACATAAAAGGTGCCTTCGACTCAGTCGATCGATGTGCCCTTTGGGACTGTCTGTTGAGGAAAGGTGTGCCTGATAAATACGTAAACATTATCAAAGCGCTGTACGCACATAGTTCGGGCAGGGTGATGGTTTATGGCAAACGGTGTGAGACAAGGATGCCCGGTGTCACTTTTCCTCTTCAACTTCGCTATTGATGAAGTCATGGAAACAGCGTTCACTGGACACGACCTAGAACGTGTGGAGCTACTTCCTGGTGAGCGACTTCTGGACTTGAAGTATGCGGACGATATTGCCCTAATCTGTGACAGCTCCCAAAGATGCCAAACAGCACTGGACCGGTTAGCACTGGCTGTCCATCGTTTTGGGCTATGTTTTGCTCCATCGAAATGCAAAGTACTTCTCCAAGATTGGCAGGGACCCAACGCTGCGCTAACGCGTGGTGGTGATCTGCTAGAGGTCGTTCAGGAATTCAAGTACCTGGGCAGCTATATTAGCCTCCGTGGGATTGAAGATGAGGTTACGAACCGTATAGCAAAAGCTCGAGGTGCCAATCTCCGCCACCTGTAGCGCAGACGCGACATTACTCTCGCCCTGAAGGGCAGAGTTTACAACGCAGCCGTCCGTTCAACTCTCCTATTTGGCTGTGAAACCTGGCCCATCAGGTCGACAGACATGAAAAGGCTCGTCACATTCGATCATCGATGCCTTCGCAGCTTAGCTCATGTCTGGTGGGAACACCGCGTGAGCAATGAGCGTGTTCGACGCCGTGTATTTGGTGCAGGAAGAGCGAGTGAACCGCTCAACACCATTATATCACGCACCAGGCTCCGATGGCTGGGCCACGTGTTGCGTATGCCAGCACACCGACTCCCGCGACGTGCATTGTTTGCGCGTTGTGAGTGCGGTTGGAAGAGGAGGAGGGGAGGCCAAGTGATGACTTGGTCGAGAGAAATGAAAACCCTCACTTCGAAGTTGGCGTCGGTTGGTGCATCCCGACTGCCTGGCTGGGGTTCTAAGGACGATGAACACGTTTGGTTGGACACACTCGCTGATATGGCTAGGAGCCGGCCCCAATGGTGTTTGTGTTGTGAGTTCCTTTGTCCATCACCCTCCTGTTTAGCATCCCCCTCCAATCACGATCTCACTCGTTAGGCATAATATGACTCTCTTTTACGGCAGCCAGCTGTTAGCTCTCCGGAACGGTCCATCCGTTACTGGAGACTCAGCGGGCGTGCCACTGTTTGTATTTTTCTTTTCTTGTCTTTCGTATTGCGGCACGATAGCTGAGGTGTTTTCCACCTCCAGCTAACGTGTAATGATGATGATGAATGACTGACTTGCTCCGCGGAAAACAACGGTCTTTTGATTTTGCAGAAGACACTAGACTGTCCTTTGAGAAGCTCAAAGACGCTATCTCTAACATAGCGCTTCTCGCCCATCCAGACACATCTGCACCACGGTCCCTGACAACTAATGCCTCCGACACCGCCGTCGGTGCAGTTCTTCAACAACTCATCGACCATCGATTGATACCACTAGGTTTCTTCTCGAAATGTTTACAACCTGCCGAATCGCGTTACAACACCTTGGGTATGGAACTGTTAGCTATCTACCTAGGTATCAGACATTTCCGTCACTATCTCGAAGGTCGAAATTTTAGAACCTTCACTGACCACAAGCCATTGATTTATTCAATCAATGGCGTAACGGACAAATATTCTCCGCGGTAAACTAAACACCTAGACTACGTTTCTCAGTTTACGTCAGACGTACGACATGTCTCAGGTGCTCTCAATCCCGTCGCGGATGCGCTTTCACGCATTCAGCAGATCAGCTTATCGCTTGGCACCAACATGGATCTAGCCGCTATGGCTGCTGCCCAACAAGCTGACCCCGACATAGAGAATCTACGACGCAACACCTCGTTGAAACTACGCGAAGTCCTACTAGCTTCATCTGAGGGGACCATTCTTTGTGAAGTCTCACAAACTTCTCCCCGATCCGTAGTTCCTACCTCTATGCGTCGACTAGTTTTCAACGCTTTACACAACCTGTCTCATCCCGGCATACGTGCTTCGCAGAAGTTCGTAACTGAAGGCTTCGTATGGCCCAACGTCAATCGCGATGTCCGCCTTTGGGCATGCATATGCTTAGAGTGTCAGCGCGCCGAGGTATACAGATACACCAAAAGCCCACTTGGCGTCTTTCCCGCTCCTGACTCTCGTTTTGCACACGTTCATGTCGACCTGGTCGGACCTATGCCCCCATGCAAAGGCTACGTGTACCTCCTCACCTGTGTCGACCGATTCACTCGTTGGCCAGAGGCGATTCCGATAGTCAACTGCTCATCTGAGACAGTTGCGCAAGCTTTCCTAGAACGCTGGGTCGCTCAATTCGGTTGCCCAAGTGTAGTCATCACTGACAGAGAATCACACTTTGACGGATCCTTCAGCAAACTGCTCAACGTTCTTGGTTGCCAACATAACCGAACCACCGCATACCATCCCGCAGCTAATGAGATGGTAGAAAGGTTCCACCGGCAAGTCAAAGCATCACTATATGCCCAAGCTAGCACATCCTGGCACGAAGCACTTCCGCTCGTTCTCTTAGGCATAAGAAATACGATTAAAGCGGATTTGCACGCCACTCCATCGTCGCTAGTCTTTGGATGCACACAACGCTTACCTGGTGAATTCGTCTCACCAAAAGCACCAACAACCTTTGACTACGGCGACTACGCAGCTCGCCTATCTCATCACATGCGACAGCTTCAGCCTGTGCAACCCAGAGCACAGAGCTTGCGTACCAACGTGGACGAACGCTTAACTACTTGCACGCACGTATTCGTTCGCACTGACGGTGTACGCCGGCCACTTCAACCTCCTTACTCTGGTCCGTACCGTGTCGTACGCAGAAGCGACAAGACGTTTACCATTGACTACAATGGTAAGACTGAGACGATCAACGTCGATCGACTCAAGCCAGCATTCCTCGACAAGTCTGACTCTCCGGTGCAGCAAGCACCTTCGCAGACTGTGCCATCACAAATCGCACCGCAACCTCAGGCGAGTCAGTTCGCTCCAGCAGAATCGACAACCTCAACCGACAACACTCCTACTCGCCCTCCTATCAATCGACGCGGTAGGAAGCTGAAACCTCCAGTTCGTTTTTTGGACTTCGTTAGCACTCACCATATTACATAGAACGTGCCTTTGAAATTTTCTGCTCTTACCAAACGTTTTTGAAAATCCACAAAAATAGACCAAAACGTTTTGAAACTACCAAAAAAGAGTAAAACCTTTTGAAAACCCAAAAACAGCTTTGCACATTTTTCGCTTTGCACTCTTTTGCGTATGGCTATGCATTTATGCTGCTTTTTCATTTTGCTTTCCATATACACCGCCGGTTGATTGCACCTCGGTTTCACTTTTCGTTGGATCCCCGCACGTAAACTGGAAGTGGAACGAACTTCTGGCTCAACCGCCTACGTGAACTTTGCTAACTGCCCCCCCCCATAAAGTTTTTACCGTTTCGACACCGTAGGGAGGACACGGGTTGGAGCCCGCTAGGGTCCGATTACATGGTTCTCCCCCAGCAGCTGCATCAGGATTCACAACCTGGTCTCGCAGAGGGATGACCCGCGACGGACAGTTCTCACGTAGATCGAAGGACTGCTTACACAGTCCCTTCTGGGAGAGGACTATGTAGCAGTCTGGTGATTCCCCGGTTTGCCTGTGTAAAATTCCAACTAAAATTATTTCATTGTACACCTAGGCAACCGGTGTGGTTTATTAAACTGATCGCTGAGTTCGAATGCTTGACTTGCTCATCGCCATTTTTGCTTGGCGCTCGTTTCGGTTGCAACTCGCGACTGCCCTGTGTGCTGTGCATGCTCCGTTCCCCTAGCTAGAGCGTCCACGGTGTCGTTCCTTTATAGCTAGATAACAGAATCTTTCACTGTCCCAATAAAAGTTTCCCTGCAACTCGATCTGTCTTTTCGAATCGCTTCGGGCTCCCGGTACAGGCTACACCCCTCTAAAAAGCTACAGGTCGTTCCTTACTATAATATCATATACTCAGCCAGCTCGAGTGACCCACTTGTGTGCCCATGGCCATCTCATTGAGACGGATAGGTTATTCAAAAATGTTCGAACATGGCGTTACATATGTAGTCTTGCATTAGCACTACTTGGGAATCGAATTGCTCTAATCGTGAACGGTATTTGAGTCTAGGAAAAATCCGTTCGTTGCACATGTTAAGGTAGGATGGAAAACTATTTTGGGTGGCTGAAAGCCAACTCACTCGGACAACCCAGAGCGAATAAATCGGTCACTTAAGTACATTTTTCGGTCGCTCGAGCTGATACACCACTTAATCGCTCAGCAAAGAATAAATGCAGTGCAAATGTTGCGCTGTGTTCGTGCCCAACACACTTTCATCAACATTGCAGATGAAAGGGAGTGGACTAATAGCGAGCTATTGTGCATTGCCGATGACATGCAGTATCGAAAGGATATCTGGTAGTACGAAGTGTGACGACGCTTGCGTCCGCTAAATCGGTTGAGCACGGATGGCGCATTGTAGGCATTCAAATCTCACTAGGACAGGCATGAATAAACCAAAAGCTAGCGCTTCGTCCTAAATTTTACCGTAATCAACGGCAGCTAGCTGTGATGACAGTCATCGGCTAATCCCGAAGTGAGAATACATGGTTCTTGCAATTTAAATAAGTTATCAGAAAACAGGTAAGAGAAAAAGGGTCGAACAGATGTAGTTTAAAAACACGCTGCAGAAGTAGGCAGGCTAGTTGCATCTACGCTTCGTTGCTACGTGGATACCGGCAGCTGGGTGAAGATCTCAAGTATTCAGAAGTTACCCCATGTAAGTAAATTCAGACATACATGCCATGCCACCAACCTACCGGCTGGCTGAAGACACTGAAGGAAACAGGAAATGTGCCACAGTTCCCAAAACATAAGCTACAAACCTTCAATAGGCAGTAAGGAGAGAGTTCGGGGAGGAGGTAAACTCCGATGTGGTTGACATTTGCACCACCGGTAGCCAACAGACTTTTTGATGAATTACGTTGAATGGCGTGTATCCCACAAACAACAGCGTCGAATGACTCCGCATTGCTAGTGTCAAAATAAAATCAGAATATGGCCCCGACATTACCTTGCTTCGGTGCCTATCAATGGGATTTCGAGGCTAGCATCAGATGTAACGTTGTAAAGCACAAGCTGATTACACTTAGTGCCATAAACAACGTGATCATTCGTAATCCATTGCGAGGCGAAGATTTTATTACGCACACCTGGATTGATCACTCTTTTTCTCCAAGCGATCGGTAACCGGAACGGAACATGATGGATAATGTCAGGGAGAAGGTTCTTCAGAAAGCCCAGCTCTCGAGACTGAAGGGATTTGAGGAACGGCTTACATGTCTAAAAAGTTCGAAATATAATAAAAGGATCAAAACTTACTTTTTTTTCCTTTTTTGGTCGTTTGACAGCAGGGAAGTCCACAAAAGGTATCGTCGAGCTGCCCGCCCTCATTCGTCTTGACCTTGATAACTGTGCGCTGTAAGTCGAAAAATAAGGGCAAACTAGAACGTTAGCCTGAAAAATCCCAGCGTTAACAACAACTATATGTGTTGCATAAATTTTGTTTGCGCTTATTAACTAAAAAAGAAAGAAGACACGAAAGAGACCATTAGCATCTGGCAACTTTTTAGTGTTCTGTAGTGCGAGTTCAAGTTCAACTTCAAGTTCGGGTTGGACTGGAACGATAGGAGAATCCCGTGCTTGTTCCATCTTGAGTGGATCATAGCGCCAGGAACTGAAGTGCTCAGAATTATTTATGGATCGAAAACGGAACACGCGTGTCGCACCCTGGCCACGTAGTTAATGCCCACGTTTCCTGCCCTAGTAGTCCCTGCGTTGGCGATCACGCGAAGTAAACAAAGGATAGGAAGCGAAATCGAAGCTAAGAAATAAGAAAGTGCACTTGAAGTAAAAAAATGATACCCATGGGTGAAGAAAAGTAAAAGAAAATCGAAGTATGAAGCTGCGAGTTAGTCATGAAAAAGGAAAGGTTTCGTGTTGCCACCCAAGGGCGCCAAGTTGCCGCACAAACCCCTTAACTTTAGATTCTGCGATAACAATTTCCGGAAGAATGTTCCAGCGCCCGATGACTTGGCGTGACAGCCGGATTTCGCGTTTTGTCCAGCTTCAAGAAATGACCGTGTAGAGCAGACAATCTAGAGGGACTCAATAGCAAAGATAAACCTGGACCAACCTTCCTAGTTAAGATATGGTAGGTTAGGATTAGGCCTTCTCGAAGCCTTCGGTAGTGCATTGAATGCGTCCTCATACTAAGTAGACGCTCGGGGTACGTCCATCCCCTTAATCCCTCAACCAACCTAGTATCCACCCGTAAAACCCTCAACCATTATCTAATAAAATGCTAACAGAATCAATGGAGCCAGCTGAGCTAGCTAACGCCAGTATTTATTCAAAAATTTTGGCGGTTGTTATGAAATACGTAACCGAAGCTTGCGGGCTGGGCCACTCACATAAGCGTAGGGCCTAGCAACGGGTTAGGTTCGCAAGTTACGCTAAGCTAAATGCATGTCATTACAGGGCCATAAGGTTGTAGAAAGCAGAAGGAAAAAGCCTTCGACAGCTCCATCGCTTCCCGTTCATTGCGTGGATGCCTTTGCGAGGCATTCCTCCACAAAATCTGTGACAGCTACAGTGGAATCTGCAAGGCGGTCTTGCTCAAGAGGTATGCATCCAACATTCTCCAGAAACATTCCTCTGTGTAAACATCGACCACATGCTTCGCTTAGTCGTTCCAATCGTTCTCTACGCGGGTTGATAGAGCGAAAGCGGAACAAACCTTGGTCTTCTGAGTTTAAACAGTTCCCAGTTGCTGCCACGAGTTGCACTGTTATCAATGCTTTGAAAGAACGCCTGCAGCTTCGTCCCGATCACTTCTCTCAGGATACGCCCGGTGCAAAGCAGGTCAGCGCGACGTCCCTGGTAGCACAATCGTAGCAATAAACGTAGCAAACCCCACCTAAAAGGGACGGACGTCCAGTTGTTTAATAAAAGGGTAGCTGCGGTTAAATATGTATATTTTGTGCCTTGTTACTCAATAAATGTTTGGTATACATGTGAAGTGATAGTAGTTGCGCATAACATATGCGATTTAAATGCCTCGGTTGGTCATTTTATACGCACAGTTTCGGTTTTGTAACGTTACTGGTTACTGCCGCTTGGTTTTACGCTATTGTTTAGCTCCCTTGATTCTGCGTTTCTTCAGTCATACCTAACAGCTTTTCCAGCTATAGCTTGTGTGTTACATATGTGCTCTCTTTCAGCATGATGCATCGAAGAGGTTACCAATCAACTGCTAAGTTCTGTCTCCTAGCACCATTTACCGTGCGGCAAAGAGAAGGACCTCAGCATTCAGCTACGAAGGAGCAATTTTGTCGTTCGCTGCTAAGCGACGAAAGGTTAAGAAGTTTTTTTACTATATATCATTCTGGGTTGCTCATGCAGTGCAGTCACCTGAAATGGTTACCAACTATGGACTAGATGACAGGGACACCGATCTTGTGGTCTGTAACTTGCGGGAGCTTATTGCAAAGTCTCAGGTACCTTCGTCCTTTGTTGGTCTATTGCTAGGGCTCATGCCACCGTGAACACCATTCATGCCAACGGAGTACCGAATGATGCTGCGAACACCACGGAACTTCCACTTACGGGATGTAGCATCGGGCACTCACGGTCGCGTAGGTCAACTGTGAGTTCTACGCGGTAACTCGATTTTTGGCGTGCCATACTGGTCAAGCATTTTAGCTACAATATTGTGGAAAACAGTGTTTGAATAAACACTTGCAACGGAATTTGACTATTGTCAAATTTTCTCTGATCCAAGCTATCTTGGATCGATTAAAGCGGTTCTGGTCAAAGCGTCTTTGGCGCTTACTGGTAATTTTTCCGGTTTTTCCCAGTTTTAATCGCGTTTTGCACCCAACTTTTTGCCCTTTTTATTGCGGTCGTTTAACTTTTGTGTACGTGTTATAATTCCACTCTGTTTTCCACTAGGTCGGTCTCGCAATGCATCATGGCTGTTGTTCCTGTTGGCTTGGATTCTGAGGTTATCGCACTTTGTGGCAGTCCAAGCTGCAATATACCAGTAACTGACGATTCCGGCGGTATGCAGTGCGTTGGCTGCAACTGATGGTACCATCAGCTTTGTACGGACCTGAATACCCAGCAGTACGCAGCGCTGGCCTCCAGCGAGAAGTTGCTTTTTAGTTGTGCCAATTACTGCAGCCGCCGGCAAGGCCGCGCGGCCTTTCGTACGAGCGACGAATCTCTTGATAACCGGCTGCGAAATGTAGAGCGTTCGTTTTCGGTGCTCTCAGATCTTCGCTTTAAGATTGATCTGCTTATGAAGACGCTTTCGGTCTCCAACAACGCAGATTTGATCCCTTACAATGGAGAACAACTTGTGGCACCAACCATGTCACCCTTCCAGCTGGCTACCGACCACAAGGATGCAGCAGCTTCGGACGTCGTAACTAAAGCTGCCCTGATCGACGCCGAATTGCTAGTTCAAGAGTCCCTTCGAGTAAAGCGAAACAGAGCCAGGAAACCCCGGAAGCTCTCTGCTAAACAAGAAGTTATAGTTTTCTAGGCACCGGAAACAAGCCAAGTGTCGTTACTTGGCAAACCATCCGACGGTTGTGCGAAGGCGAAGATTCCAACACGCACGACTTTTCAGCCGAAGTTGCCGGCAATCTCGGTTCTCACCGAGAAGGCATGTTCTGAAAGTTTTCCTGCTTTTGCTCAAAGCAAAATATCCTCACGGGACCCTGCTCTCGTTATCAAGAAGAAAAAGCGGACCAAATCTGCCATAAAGCCTTCCGGTAAAATTGATGAACTTAACAAAAGGATGGCATCGACAATGGAGCGAAAAACATACGCTGCCGTTGCTACCTCATCGGAGGGTCTTAAGACAGTCCCACCACCAGTAGTGAAGCCACCTGCTCCAAGTATGGAATCAAAGACCCGCGGGGGTTAATACACCCCGTCGTGGCGATTCTTTCACGGATAGTAGCGTTATATTCCGTAGCGCGGCTGAATCTACTGCTTCCTTCCTGCTGAGCGCATGTTAGACGACCTTCAATGATTTAAAATTTGCGTAACGAAGCTTGTTCCGCCTGGTTTACCAGGAATTGCTGTCAGGAAGCTGATCCGATCGGGGAACGTCCCCGGCTACTTCGTGTGGTACTCTATACCCCGGAGGGACGCGGCGCTCTCATGCGGTTTGCGTTTAAGCTGAAAGGTACAAATATTAAGGTTCAGCCGGACCTACCGCTGGCCGATAGGCTGAAGCTAAGCGAGGCCATCAAGGATCTCAAAATTAGGCCAGCGGCCGGTGAACAGAGACTCCGGTTAGTGGGTTTTCGGGTGGTCAGCCGGCGGTCTTTTCCCGCCCTACCAATACCAGTACTGGTAGCGCACGACCCAGGTCTGGATCTAACGAATACCTTCAGATAGTGTTAAGTAATATGCGCAGCCTAAGGAATAAGGTGTACGAGTTAGGTCTGCTGTAGATGGGTCTCATCCCGATATACTCGCATGCACTGAAACCTGGCTATCTCAGTGCGTCACGGATGGTGAAGTACACCTACCTGGCTACGTACTATTTAGATGCGATCGCTCTGCTGGCCGACAGGGAGGGGGCGTCGCTCTTTATGTGAACTGTAGACTTGACGTTTTGAAGACTTGCTTATTTCAGCCAGCAAACAAAACTGTTGAAGCTCTGTCGGCTGTTATTAGCACATCCTCGGCTCAGGTTATAGTTGTAATTGCGTATAGAAGCCCTGGGAGCGTAGCCAAAGCTGTACATGACTTCATTCGCTCCCAGTCCACAAACAAGTGTTTGGTGATGGGCGACTTCAATCTCCCAGAGAATTGCTGGGCAGATAATTCTTGCGACTCAGCGTCAGGCACATTCGGCGCTGATTTGCTTAAGCGTACGCTCCAAGTATCTGCACCAGTTCATTGACCACCCCACTAGGTACACGGAAGCCCAAGTACCGTCTATCTCAGATCTTGTATTCGCTAAGTCAGTTGATGTTGTTGATGACATTACTTACGGACCTCCACTGGGTTCCAGTGATCACGTTTGTTTGCTCTTCGGTTGTACTTTCTCTAGACGCTACCAGAGTATTTTTGAGTCTCGCCCGAACATATGGCAAACAGACTATCAATCCATGAGAGCCATGGCTTCGGTTTGCATTGTGAAATCTCAGACGACGATACTGTCGAGGTTGCCTGGGATAAATTTAAGTCCTACCTCACAGAGGTCTCTGCTCCCCTCATCCCAGTCACAAGGAGAAAGGAAGCACGAGCACAGCCGCTCTGGATAGATCCCACTGGCAGGCATCTGCTCACAAATAGGTCTAGATGTTGGCGGATTTACCGAGATGCTCCGTCCATCGATATTTATGACAGGTACCGTAAGGCTAGAAATA